CTGACTCTGGATGATGTGTCTGATTTGAAGCTTGAATTGGATGCTCGCAAGACAGACAGTCTTTTGTTCTGCAGGGGGGTGATACGAGACTGAGTCAAGTCCATCTTAGAGTCATAGCATTTAGAGTGTGAATTTCCACTTATCTGTTGTTCATGTTCATCAGGTGCTGTAATGTTCGCCGGGCTGCCCTCACCTGCTGATGCAACTGCAACCTCAGACATTGTTGATTGGTACATTGATTGGTCTGCCATATCACCTGCTGCAGCATCAGTGGCCTCCAACTTCAAGGACTCCTCAATCACTTCCTGAGGAGAGTTATCTGCTGTATCCAAGTAGCTCTTCTCCTGCTTGGCAGATTGGTGTTTTGGAGAATCCAGGTCCTGGTGTTCAAGCTTGTCTTGGCCTACTTCTACAACAGGCTGTTCCTCTGTCATGCTCTCATCTTCAGTTAGATCAGTGACTTCATTTCTCAGATTCTGCTGGCCGTCCTCCTTGCCAGAATCCGAGTGGCCCATTTCCACTGCAACCGCTGAGGTGCTGAAGTTGCTGTCAAGTTGTGGATGTGAAGGACTTTGTCTTGGGTTTCTTGGCTTTTTCTCTTCAGACCCCTCTCTGTTGCTGTTGTCCCCTGGTGGTCTGAGCCAGGCTGGTTCTGTGCTGGAAGCCATGCTCGCTGCCAGCTGCATCTGCAGATCTGACTCTGCCTTCATCAACTCCTGAGCCTTCTGGACCCGCCCTTCGATGTAACGGTGCTCCTCCTGGTCTTCCACAGTCTCATCGTGATTGATGTCAAGTGAAAACATGAGGTCATGGTCAGAGATCCCAAACATCTCCATAGCGTGCAGGTGGGCAATGTGCTCGTCCAGCTGGCGGTCTGTCCGTCGGTGCCTGGAGTGTAGGGCCTGGAGCTGCAGCTGTGTGGACGAGGACCGGCTGTCCTCCAGGGTGAACAGCTCTTTCAGCTCCTGCTTGCTGAAGTACCGAAATGGGTTCTTCTTGTCCCCAGTATTCTGTCTGATAAGGGAGTCTTTGAAAACCTGCCGCCTGTAGATCTTCTCCTCTACCGTGCCACAGGTAATCAGTCTGTAGATGATGACATTGTCAGTCTGGCCAATGCGGTACGCCCTGTCAACAGCCTGAGCGTCTGTTGCGGGACTCCAGCTGGGATCGTAGATAACTACTCGGTTTGCTGCCGTCAGGGTAATGCCAACTCCGCCAACCTGGGTGGTCAGGAGGAAGACGGAGTAACGCTTATCATTCTGGAATAAAGAGATGCGCCTCTCTCTCTCCGCAATCTGTGTTACTGTGCCGTCCAGCCTCAGCACTTTGAAACCCCTGTTGCCCAGGATGCGTTCAATGATGTCAAGCATCTTCCTGTAATGAGCAAAGACGAGTGTGCGGTGGCCTTCTAGTCTGAGCCTTTCAAGAAGTGCAAACAGGAAAACAAGTTTCCCAGACTCAGATATTAAGATGTTATCGGGAACGTTAGCGATGCTGTGAGTATCAGTTTCCATGTCTTCATTCTGTTGCCGTTTAGCTGCACTTTCCTCCAATCCCAACTTAGCTATGGCTCCAGCAGAGAGCAGTCTGGGATGGTCGCACACCTTTTTCAGTATGTTTAGCTCAGCTAAGGGGGATCTGCTGGTCATGAGCAGCTCCTTGATGTGGTCCAGTGAAATGAACTGCCTGTATATTTCCTCCTGAACTGAGCTCAGATAAGTCCAGACAATCAGGTCGTTCTTTCTTGTCAGTTTTGGCGTGACTGCTCCAGAGTCTTTCTGATGGTGTGGGACTTGGTTCTCCTTGTTGTCAGAATTTTCCTCCTTGGTTGGATGTGCACCATTCGTTTTCTCTTTCTGGATTTCAGTCTTTGTCCTGCGGAGGAAGTATGGTTTTATTATGGCCATCAGGGTTTCAGACATGCGTGAGCCCAGAGCCTTTTCCCCTGGAGTGGCGTCCTTCTCCCTGGCACGGGTGATGGGGTTCTCATACTCTGCTTTGAATGTTTTAGCAGTCCCGAGGAGAGTGCCCTGACAAGCGAAGTCGAAGAGAGCCCACATTTCTCTCAGGTTGTTCTGCACTGGAGTTCCTGTGAGAAGAACTCTGTTTTTTGATGGTATGGCATAGGCACTCTTTGCCGTTTTGGTGGCTGAAGATTTGATCTTGTGTGCCTCATCCAGGACCATATAATCCCATACAAACTCTCTGTTGTGGTATGACGAGAGCTGTTGCCAGTTGTTTAGAAGCATATTGTAGGTGGTGATGATAACCCCACCTCTCCTCTGAACTTTCTCCAAATTTCTGGTCCTCTCTGCTTTGCTAGCACCATGAAACCCTTTGACTCTAATGCCAGGAGTCCATTTGGCAAATTCCTTGGTCCAGTTTGTTAGGAGAGAAGTTGGCATGATGAGCAGAATGTGCTTAACCAGTTCATTATCGTACATACCGGAGAGGAAAGATATGACCTGTATGGTTTTACCGAGGCCCATGTCGTCAGCCAGAATCCCCCCCTTACGACCATCTCTGTAGAGACTGTATAAGAAGGCCACTCCATGTCTTTGGTAGTCATAAAGTTTGTCATGCAAGTCCTTAAAAAGCATAAGCCCACAGTTTTTCACATTGACATACTCTTCATCTTCATCCTTCAAGTCATCCTGAGCAATAAAGTCTTCAATTTTCTTTATCCTGCTCTCAAGTTTTTGACTCTGCTGAATGTTGTGAGCTGACTTGAAGAACTGAAGCGCTTTGTGCAAATCGCCTTCTCTCACAGCGTCTTTACCATCCTGAACCAGTCTGAAAGAAACAAGACAGGACATCCCTGGGTTACATAAATGAAGACAGTGCTGCTGGTCAAAACTACTTTGTTTATGGAGTAATCTGACAATTATTGTCAGGTCCGCTCGGCGCAGCCTGCCTCTCGTCTTCCTTTCTCACTCTCGTCCTGCGGGATCGGCACCTCAGCTGTGTTGCATTCAGTCATCATTGACTCGTTGGTTGTAGCGCACAGCAGAGGCACATTCCTGTGATTACTCCTACCTTATTTAAATCTCTGGCAGACTCTCTGTCATCGCCGGAGCATTAACGAAATGAGGAACTAACTCTGCATGGTTATGCATTGTATGTACATGTGTTTTACTCGTTTTTGCGATTGGATTTTCAACGCTGACAGTCCCTGTGCTGTTGATTATCTTTCAGAACGTAGTACACATGTGTTAAGCAAAACGTAATCAGGATAGCCGCTGACAGTCCCTGCGCAGTTGATGTCGGTGCATTTGTTACTCTTTTTCACCTGTCCGTCCTGATCCTCCTACTCTCCTGGTCTCGTTGGTCTGTCTACTCCTCTGCTCATCCAGGTATCCTCAGCCGTCACAGCCCCACCCTGTTTATGTACTGTCCAAACC